CCCATCCCTGGAGGTGTTCAAGGCCAGGTTGGACATGGCCTTGGGCAACCTGGGCTGGTGGGAGGTGTCCCTGCCCATGGCAGGGGGTGGAACTCGATGATCTTCAAGGTCCTTTCCAACCTAAACCATTCTATGATTCTATGCCCAAACCTCGCCACCACCACGGCCGCGCTCCTCCTCCGGCCTGGTGCATCTCACGCAGCGCGCTCAGGCTTTGATTTTGTGAAGGAGAAGGAAGAAAAACCAACCGACCTCCCTTTTTCTTCCTTCTGTTTTTTCTTTTTTTTCTTCACGAAACCTCTTTTTGAGAGGTTTGGACTTGAGGTTTTCACCTCGTGGTCCACCCGGTTCCCACCAACGTCCTGCCGCAGAAGCGGGTTGAGCCGTGACCGAGCAACCGGCAGCACCTACCGGGGTTTGGAGACTGTTCTGCCGGCACACGGTCTTAGAAATAATTCAAAAAATGTCCTTTTTTGGCCCGTTTGAGTCAGGTAGCACCCGTCCGCTGCGAAAAGGCCGGGGTTTTGCAGGCGCGGTTCCCCGCCGTGCTCATCAGCGCAGCCTCTCCGGGATGCTCAGCCTGCGGCGCTCACGACGTCGAACAGATTTGTCTTGGCCTAAAAATACCGTAAACATTTTGGGCAGCGTTCTCTGTTCCCTTATGGTCCAAGATGCAAACACTCCCAAGCCGACAAGTTACACACAGTCCTTGGCACCCAGAGAAATACTGTGTTTGCACCACATGAAAAGCTGGATCCGCATCCAAAGCCGAGGAGAGGAACATCGGGAGCGGAAGGATATTGGTGGATGGCAGGAAAAAGAACCCAACCGCGCCGGGCTCGGCACGTCTCGCCGGCAGAGCCGCCACGGAGCGAAACCCGCTGGGGCACGGGGGGGTTTTGAGGCCTCACCAACGTCCCTCCCCATCCTCGTCTCGTCTTGCAGCAGGGGTTAGGGCTGCTCTGAGGTTTTTTTACTGTTTTCTCTCCTAAATCCCCCATCCCGGGGGACGGTTCCTGCTCCTGGTGCTGATTTCTGTCTCCCCCGTAACTGTCTCCTCTCGCCCACGTTCAGGCTTTGTCCCCACCGTGCACAGACCCAGTTTCTCTCATGTTTCTTGGTGGTTCCCAGTTGAACTTGACTCTTCCAAGGGTATCTTCGCATCCTCGAAGCTTCCCCGGCATCAAGCATTTATAGAGCCGTGAAGACACAGGCCGTGAATTTGCTACCAAATATGATTTTAAGTGGATTTTAGGGGCCCGCTGCATCCATGTGCCGTCCCGGTAACGCCTGTGGCCCCTTTCTGCCAGAGGGATGCGACCCCAGATGGCTCTGGCAGCATCTCGGAAAGGATGAGGAGCACCCAGGATCTGGGTGAATCGAGGCAGAATCCTCTCGATTTGGTTTTCCTGGCGGAGGGGGAACGAGCGGTGGCTCCGGAGGCTTTGCCGAGCCGGGGTCTCCTCTCCCGGCCAGGCTGGGGGGGCTCCTGGGGGCCAAAGGCACTGGTGCCACCAACTCCGGGCGGTACAAATTGGTCTGTTCAAATTATGTTTTAAAACAACACTAAAGATGAGCTCTCCCCCCTCCCCTTTTTTTTTTAGCCCCGGGGAGGCGCAGCCCGCGGGGGGCACTGGTGACACACACGTGGTACAGGGATGCCCTTGAGGGGTTTATCCCCCTGGATGAGTTTATCCTCCGGGATGAGTGTACCAAAGATGGGTACAACACCCCGGCTGCCTTTTGGGGACCATCCCCTTGGCGGGGAGGGGGGGTCACCTCCGTGTTTCAGCCGTGTCGGGGAGCGGAGAGCGGGATTCAGCCACGCAACCCCTGCGGCTCTCTCCGTTCCCGGCAAAGTCCTGGTCAGCGCAAGCTTTTAAGTCTGAGAAAATCTCTCTTAATGCAGAGAGGGGGGTTTCCTTAATCAGGCGGGGGACAGCTGAGGCCCCCAGACAGGCACGCTGGGTGCCACGTGCGCGCCCGGGCTGGGATCACGCCGGCTTTGCTCCTCGCTGTCGCTTCTCGTTTCCCTGCAGCCCGGCTGACGTGCCAGTTGCTGATAAGGGACTTGGACGGGAGCAGAGCTCGCCGGGCACGGGGATGCTCCAGAGCCAGTTAAAGTCACGCAGCGGTTTCTTTCCCTTCCTTGGCTGAACGTCTCGGCCCCTGGGGGTGTGTGGGGTGTGTGTTTTTTCCCTAATTCTCCTTCCCAGGGTTGTCGTTGCCCAGGGTGTGTAAAATCGGGTGTTTCACACGATGCTGGGGAGGCGGCGAAGTGCAGAGGCAGCCTCATCCTCCCTGTCACTCTCATCCTCGTCATCCTCATCTTCGTCCTCACCCTTACCCTCATCCTCACCCTCATCCTCATCCTTCTCCTTATCCTCATCCTCCTCATCCTTATCCTCACCCTCATCCTCACCTTCTTCCTCTTCCTCCTCCTCTTCCTCATCCTCATCCTTACCCTCACCCTCGCCCTCGTCCTCACCCTCATCCTTATCCTCCTCATCATCCTCACCCTCACCCTCCTCCTCGTCCTCTTCCTCGTCCTCATCCTCACCCTCCTCCTCGTCCTCATCCTCACCCTCATCCTCCTTCTCGTCCTTATCCTCATCGTCCTCATCATCCTCACCCTCACCCTCCTCCTCATCCTCATCCTCATCATCATCCTCATCATCATCCTCACCCTCACCATCCTCCTCACCCTCCTCCTCATCCTTATCCTCATCCTCCTCATCATCCTCACCCTCACCGTCCTCCTCATCCTCCTCCTCCTCCTCGTCCTTCTCTTCGTCCTCATCCTCACCTTCATCCTCATCCTTGCCCTCACCCTCACCCTCATCTTCATCTTCACCCTCACCCTCACCTTCATCATCCTCCTCCTCCCCCTTGTCCTCACCTTTGTCCTTGTCCTCACCCTCATCCTCACCCTCACCCTCATCCTCATCTTCATCCTCATCCTCCTGCTCACCCTCACCCTCCTCTTCCTCCTCCAGACTTCCCCAGAACCGGGGCGGGCAGTTGAGTCTCCGTCCCTTAAGGGAAGTTGACCACATCCTGGTCGAGCATCGTTTCCTCTCACATGTTCTGCGTTTCCTGCTGGTCTCTCACCCTCATCGGGCTGGAAACCTGCTCCCGGCCAGGCTGGGATCCCGGCAGCGGGAACATGGCTTGGAAAAACGGGTCCTGCCATGGGGGGCACCTGGGGACAGCAGGGAGATGGGTCGATGATGAGCAGGGTTTTTTTTGGAGGAGTTTTTTTTTGCCATGTCAAGTTTTCACCCTGGTTTTCTCCTTTGGAAATTTTCTGCTGGGAAGGAACTGGGTTTAAATCTCTCTGAAAAATAGTCGTGTTCCAACGCAACCCCGTGACAAAAAGGTTTCGTGCCTCTTTGCATCTTCTCTTTTTCCCCCTGGAGAAGGGAATGAGGAGGACCGAGGAGGAAAGCAACGCCGGCGGTCCCTTCCCTGCTCTTTTCTCAAAGACCTTGCAGATATCCCGAAAATGGGAATCTTCGGGTTTGATTCTCGCTCCAGCGGGATTGTTTCCCTTTGACATCATCTTGTCAAAAAGCTGAAAATGTGGGACGGGCATTTTTTTTTTTATTTCTCAAAAAAACCCAC